TTTTTTATTTCTCGTTATTATTTTGTTATTTAAAACCATTACCGTTCATGCATATAAATGTGCTTGTAATTATCGACGAAAAAAAAGCTCCAACCGTATAGCGCAAATATAATTATAGATACTACACAGAATATAAAAATAAATTGATGTGCATGCCACACACAGCTTAGAGCGGACAACAAAAAATAAAAAATAATAATAACGAACAAAAAGCGACACACACACACCGAGTAAAAAACAGTAAAAAACTATAAAGTATATATTCTCAATAATCACGAACAGTTGTTTTTGTTTCTGTTGTTGTCCCCACTTAAGCGTGCGATTAGCAAAAAATACAGAAATAGCTATTAAAAAAATAAATAAGTATAAATATAAAGGCGACGAATAAATCAAAATCTATCCGAAATCAGCAGCGTTCCCACGAAAAACCCAATGAGAACGAAACTCAACCGAACTCAACTCAAATGTGATATAAACTCAAAGAAAAAACTAAACAAATGTAAAGGAAATCAGTTGTGATAAAACTACGCAAGTAACCAAGTATATATAATTAATATATATGTATATCCAAAAACCGAAAAGTAATTAATCAACCTGAAACAACGACTGAATAATACAAGAAAGGAAAAAGCACCAAGCAAATGCAAATGCAAATCAACGCAACGCAGCAGCATCAGCATCAGCATCAGCATCATATAGGAACTGCTGCGACACACCACCAAGAACACCTTCTCCTCGATCGAATCCACCTCCACACCTGGTATTAGCTCCTGAATGGTAAAAAGCCTTGGCTTTGTTTTCTAAATGTCTTCCATAGCATTCTTACTTTGGATGTTGTGTAACTCTATATCGTCATTAACAACCGCCATTCTCAACATGGACATGCCTCTCTATCTATCTATCTCACCATCAAAGCACCACCAAATGTCATCATTACAAGTCCTGTAAAGAAAGCCCATGTCCTGTGACTCAAATGTATATATATATATATAATATATATATAATATATATATAGGTTACGAGACAAAAGAATCTGAATCTTTTGCTGAAGCTTGCTGCTGCCGCTTAACCTGTCTCTTGTCTGTCTTACACTACTTCTATATAAACTGAATACTATATATTATTATAATAATATAATATATATACCTCATCGTAATCGTTGTTGTTGTTATCGTACAGAATATATACATTTATATATATATATCTAACCAGTACCATCAAAATAAACCCAAGACAAGGCACCAAAACAGAAACAACACTAAAATCCAACCGCCATTCAAGAACACCAATATCAATATGTCAATATATCAATATCAGCGCCAGCTATCGAATCAAATCGAATTAATTCAAATGCCATCATCCGGAAGTCGAAGCAACCTACTAAACCACTGCGATGTCACCACTCTATATATCAAACTGATCTCTCTCTCTCTATCTCTCTATATAAAGATATATATTATATATAAATATATGTAAACTTACAACCACCGCATTCATCATTGAGAGCATTATATCCTTAAAACCAAAAAAACTAAACATGAAACGAGAAGCAATCAAATGCACAAAAAAGCCTTACAAACTGCCATTAAACTCGATGTATATCAGTAATATGCGAGGAAATTGCGAGGCGGAGACATATTGAATATAGAATACAAATTCCATATATCTCACGCCTTCCACCGCCTAATCCATGCTGCGTGTCTGTGAAACCATGAAAAGTCAGCTTAATTAAAAACAAATTTTCCATTTCTTTTTCTTTCGTTTATTGAACAAGTTTAATAATTGGAAAGCGCGTAGAGTAAATCGAAACAGAGTAAAATCGAGTTGAAAAACAGCAACCCAAACAATAATAAATAAATAAGGAATCGAGGCAGATAATCGATATATACATATATATATATATATTCCAAGAGAAGACTGAACGGGAACTTGGATAATTCCGCAAAATATGGAGAGTATTATGAATGCGGCCTTGGATGGAGATGCCCAGCTGTTGATGCAGCATTTGGGCTTTGATTACGAGCAGCAACAGCAGCAGCAACTGCAACCAGAGGCAGAGAGCCCACAGCCACAACATTTCACATACCGATATCAGCAATCAACGCCCACACATATGCAGCAATTAGCTTGTAACTATCAGCCACGACATTCCACCTACAACAACAACAACAACACTGCGTCGTCGCCCTCATCCACACACTCGCTGGCCAGCAGCAGCAACAACAGCAACGACAGCAGCAGTAGCAGCAGCAACAGCGGCAGCAGCAACATCAGCAACATTAGCAACATCAGCAACATCAGCCCCCATAGAGCTGCATACTCATTAGCCGTTCATAGCTATAAGCAGCAACAGAGCCTGGCTAATCCCAACCATGTTCCGCTCCATCAGATGGACCTGCAGCAGTCGTCGCCGCTCAGTGAAAATGGTGCTTCTCCCAATGCCACATCAGGTGCCAACACGCCCCCAACAGTTGTGGCAGCAGCAGCAGCTACAGCATCAGCAGCAGCAGCAACAGCAGCGGCAACTGCAGCAACAACGCCCACGCTGGGCAACTATAAGACTGCCTCCTGCTGGTGTTACGGTGAGTCCCCGAGTATATGCTCAAAACTCAAAAATAAAATCAATAAAAAACGCAATCAGCATCAGCATAGAACTATCAAAAGTTGCGCACAACTTCCTCTACTATATCAATATATATATATATACACCCTACATAAAATGTACACCACTTCTCTCTATCTATAACTATCGAGCTCGCTACAAAACCAACCAACCAACCAATCAACAACAGCAACAGCATCAATCACCACGTCGCCTCATTCTAAAAAGCCGCCAGCAACTACTTGAAAAACTCAATAAGAACAATAAGAATAAGAAAAAAATGAACCTAAACAAATGTCAAACAAACGAACCGAACCGAACGTCGCCCAAGAAGCCACCAAAGCTATAAATGAATTATATCCATTAACATTGCGTTGAAAGTTTTGAAAGAGAATAATCCAAATATCACCAAAACATCCAATCCAGCACACATTCCGATATACACACGATATAAAACCAACCAACAAACAAACACTCATAAAAAAAGAAAACAACTAAGCAGCAAAACAAATATCGCATTAAAAAAAAGCCTCGAGAAAAAATCAACCAACAAGCAAACTTCCACAATCGACTATATAAAATCTCATATGCTAATCGTACGCTTTAATGTGGGCGTCCATTTCAATTTTGAATGTGCCTTAAAATATTATGTCTTATGTATATTTTGCGTCCACTTTCCTTTAGCATGCCCTAGTGATTCATGTGTGTTGCATAAAGATTTATGGCATGCAGAGGATTTTGCTATAAAAGATACCAAATATGGGAGGGGAAAGATTGGAATTAAAAGGGGAAGTTGCTTTAGAAATTAACTTGTATTTTAAGGAGCAATTCAAACACCTTTGTATATCAATTTAAAGAAAGAGTATACAGAAAAGTCCCACTTTTATCGATTTATAAGCTTAACTCACTTTAGAGCAGGTGCTGCCTTTCATGGGTTTCCCTCCCACAGCAAGTGCAGGTCATAAACTTCGATTTATTTTCACTAATGGATTTTGTAGCATTTAGGTTTAAATAGTGTTTCTGCAACACCTCCTTAGAGCTAGCGAATATGGTTTACTTCCCCTTACACAGGATCCAATCGCTTATTCGCGTGTCGCATGTCGCCACATTACGCATACGTCGCGTGGTACGCGACAAGCACTTGAAGCCGCAAACTTTGCTTTAACAATTTGCGTGCTGCAGATTGCTCCTGCTCCTGCTCCTGCTCCTGCTCCTGCTCCTGCTCCTACTCCTGCTATGGAGCTTGTCGTTAGCCTAGTTTCCCCCAAGCAATCCTGCACACAATGCATACGAAATTAGTCGCCAGTCTGCCTCCTGCAAGCTCCTCCCCATTCTGCTCCTGCAACCGCTTCCTGCATCGCTCCATGGGCGGTCTGCAAGTGTTATTTATGACAGTCACATAATTTAAGTTGCTGCTGCACAGTGTCAACAGCAAGGCAGTCTTGGTCCTTTGTGGCCCATAAAATCGCTAAGCAAAACTCTGGCCAACTCTGTTGTTTCCTCCTGCATATAATACCCTGCTCTTCCCTGCTCTTTATTTACGAGACCGCACAATTTATTGTTTTTGCATCTTTTAAATTTTTTTTATTTAGACTGCAACCTCCTCCTCCTCCTCTTTCTGCGCTCTCTAAGTACAGATAGATGATAGATAACTGACAGATGCGTCCGGCGCACTTTCAATTATTCGAATGCACTGAGGCTGTACTGAGGCGGAAATTGGCCAGCATGGTGCTAAGTATGCGGGGTTTTTCGCTTTCGTTGCTCTCGCTTTTTGCACATTGCAAATTCTTTGCAAATCGCACATTTTCACACATGCATGTAAAAGAGGGCAAATGGTCCAATATTCAACCAACCAACCCCCGCAACCAACCCACCGCAATGTCATCGCCGCAGAGTGAGTGTGCTGTATCTAATTAGAGAAATACTTTTGAAGGACACTCGACGACGACGACATAGATTTCAAAGGGAGAGGAGCTGGGGAGGAGCCGGGCTAAATTTAAACCAGGCGAGTGCCAACGTCTTGGACCGCCCCAAGTCAGCTCAGGCGACACGAGAGACCGACAGACACAAGGGTGGATGCATGGTGGCAGCCAGTCAGGTGCAACGTGCTCGGATCACTTTGTTTTGTCTTCGCTGCCTTGCAGCGCTTGTGTAATAGAGCGTCTCCGCTTGACACATTTTATTAATTGAAATTTGTTTGTTTACTGGCGGCGACTTGGGGTCGTCGTTGTATGAGATCATTGCGAGGCTTCACTGTGACCATGCTTTCGTACTTCGTTTCGTTGTATTTCGTTTTTCCCCCATTCATTTACTCTCATATTTATTTATATATATTTAGTACTATATTTGCAAATCCAAACTTATAATCATTGCTTCCGTTCTTCTCTTTCCATTTCAGGTGAGTCAGTTTGTTCTGGAATTGAGGTTGAAATTGAAAATAATAACAATAATCATATTCATCATGGTAAGCTTTGTCACACTTTCATTAAATACCATTAAATCCATCTTTGTCTAGCCAAAAACAAAAATAGATATTAAACCAAAAGAAATATATGAACAAGATCGACTAATTGAAGATTAATACCGAACTAAAGCCGTAGCTCTATCTGTCGTTTTTTCTGTATCTATGTATCTGTATCTGTAACTCGAGCGCGCTTTTTGAGCTTGACTTTGGATAACTGATTTTAATTTTGACCCCACTGACGACCACGACCATTAACCTTCGACCCTTTGACCGACTTTTGCTTTGACTTACATTTTCTTTTTTTTTTTTGTGTGTCTATAAAAAGTTACTCGTTCGTTTTCCGTTTTTTGTTTTGCTTTTGCGATCAGGGTCGGACAGGGTCTCTCTTGACGGACGACCTTCCGCCGGTGGAAGAGCCACAGTGTGTGCCAGGTCTCATGTGTTTCGTGTGTCGCCACAGCATTGTCCGTTCCTCATCCGATCTCACCTCGAGCTCATAACTCCTCCTCATGGCTTGCCACAGAAACAAACCCAACAGACAACAGTCGAACACAACCATATGCCATATGCCAACATAACCCAATCCACGACACGCAGTAACCCATTCCAATCGCTCTGTATGAAGCCACCAAAACAAAAACCATGCCTATAACCAAAACCAAAAAAACTAACTCCAAGAACTCCAAGCGATCGACGCTGAAATGCTGTTATTATTTTTAATTTATAACCTGCCGAATTTGAGCTAGTAACTAGATCTAACCAAGAGTATAACCATAACCAGAGCCAGAACTAGAATGTTTGCAACAGCCGAGGGCACAGACTAACCTCCAGTACCAGTTCAAGTACCTACTATTCCGCTTCCAATTCTAATTCTAACTCTAAATTTTAATTTTTATAATTAAAAACCCGAAAAGAATGATACCCAATGATCTCTGACCTCTGAGAATCAACGAGACTAATGCATTGGTCGCTCTGTGAACTCCTTTTGACTTTTTGCTTGCAGGCGAGACAACGTATCACATGAAAATCCTTGTGCCTGCGGTGGCCTCCGGGGCCATCATTGGCAAAGGTGGCGAGACTATCGCCTCTCTCCAGAAGGACACCGGTGCTAGGGTCAAGATGTCCAAGTCCCATGACTTTTATCCAGGTGAGTCTTTATACTCCTCTATAATCTGGCAGAGAACTGATCTTCTTTTTCATCCTCTAGGCACCACTGAACGCGTGTGCCTAATCACCGGCTCTACGGAGGCCATCATGGTCGTTCTGGAGTTCATTATGGATAAGATCCGTGAGAAGCCTGACCTAACCACAAAGATCATTGATGCCGAGTCCAAACAGACCCAGGAGCGGGACAAGCAGGTCAAGATCCTGGTGCCCAACTCCACGGCTGGCATGATCATCGGCAAGGGTGGCGCCTTCATAAAACAGATCAAGGAGGAGAGCGGCTCCTATGTCCAGATCTCGCAGAAGCCCAAGGATGTCTCGCTCCAGGAGCGTTGCATCACCATCATTGGCGACAAGGAGAATAACAAGAACGCCTGCAAGATGATTCTCTCGAAGATCGTCGAGGATCCTCAGTCGGGCACTTGCCTGAATGTCTCCTATGCTGATGTCAGCGGCCCGGTGGCCAACTTTAATCCGACCGGCTCTCCATATGCCACCAATCAGAACGCCATTAACTCGAGCACCGCCTCGTTGAACTCCACGCTGGGCACCACGATCGGTGGCGCTAGCTCCGCGGCCAGCCTGCTAGTCAATGGCACCGGCATTAATTTGTCTATTAATCTGGGATCACCCAATCCGGCGCCCAATCTAGCTGTTGCCACTCAGCTTTTGGAGCATATTAAGGTGAGTGATTGCTAGAGATCTTTTCAAGTTTCCCCTATAACTTATACTTACTAAATCTCTGTAGGTTGCCATGCGCGGCTCTGGTTACTCGGAGAACGTGACTACGGATGTCTGCAATGCTTTGGGTGTGCTGGCCAAGTACGGTGTTCTTGGTATGGGTGTGGGCGTGCCTCATACCAATGGCGCCCACTCCACGCTGAGCAATTTCCTTGGCGTCACGACGCTGGACCAGCAAACAGCGGCCGCCGCATCCGCGGCCACCGCCAGCAATGTGTTCGGTGCCGTTGGCCAGGTGAATCTGGAGCAGTATGCAGCTGCAGCGGCCGCTGCCGCCGCCGCGAGCCGGCCAACGCAGTCACAACTGGACGCTGCTGCGGTGCAATTCGATCCATTCCGACACCTGGGCTCGGCCACGGCGCCGGCCACCACGCCCGTATCCCTGAATAACAACAGTTTCGGGCTGACGGCTGCCACGGGCACGGCGACCACGGCGCAATTGGGTGGACTCAGCAAGAGTCCCACACCGGGTGACCTAAGCTCCAAGGACTCCAAGAACGTTGAGGTGCCGGAAGTGATTATCGGCGCTATTCTAGGTGCGCGTCCTTACTATTATCCCTACTAAAAAAAAGCTAAGAAAAAAGAAAATTGCAAAAACCAACCAACCAGAGAGACACCGATAACTCTGCAATTTTTATTTTTTTTTCCCCCATCCGCAGGAGTTTCCTATTCCTGTTACCCCGCTCCCCCATTTCCCCAGCTTCCATATAATACACCTCTTTGATTAGCCATTAGAGCCATTAGACATAGACATAGATAGCCAACAAAGACACTGGCACTTCATTCCCAGACTCATTCCAATGAGAGAGATCGATCAGTTACGTTACCCATTGCATTCCGATAGACAACACATTCTCAGAGCGTTCAGCCACAGATGAATCCATTGAAACTTTTATATAGCGAAATTTCTAGTCAAGTTCTTGCCTCTCACCCATATCCATATCCCAGCACCTGGCCACACCTTGATCCCCGCTCAGACCCCAAAAGGAAAAAAAAGAAAAACCCACTGAAAATTCGCACAAAACAGCAGCAGAAGCAGCAGCAGCATCCGTTAGCCTAAGAGTTTAAAAGAGTAGCTTTAGATGTTAGGTTTTAGGTTGAAGACATTCACTTTTTCCCCATCTTGTTTATGCCTAACGAATTTTCTTCTAACACATCGATATACATATGCTATATATAGTTGGCTAGTGCAATTCTTGGGTAACCAGGCGTACATATATTATAATACCATTTTTGTTGGATTTACATTCGTTACATGTTCACGTGCGCAGTTTTAATGTTTACCTCAGTGTCAGTTGTAAGGTCGTTAGGTCATTAGGTTTATTAGGCACCTGACAATCCCCACAGCGTATGGCTATTGATTTTTTGATACATTAATACCTTGATTTGTTTTATTTTTGGCCCGCCCGCTATACTTTCCCCCCTTAATATATATAATTATATACCCCCTACATATACTACTGATATATATATATATATACATACCCATTTTTATTACCCCCACATCATTATATTGTTCTTTAAAGAAAATATTTAACATAAATCTGATGCAAATATTCCAGGTCCGAACGGTCGTAGTTTAGTTGAAATCCAACATGTTTCTGGCGCAAATGTGCAAATTTCCAAAAAGGGCATATTCGCACCTGGCACTAGAAATCGCATTGTTACCATAACTGGTCAGCCGAGTGCCATTGCCAAAGCGCAATATCTAATTGAACAGAAAATCAACGACGAGGAGACAAAGAGGGCGCGACAAATTCCATTAACCACTGTTGTGAATTAATAATATATCCAGCAAACTAAAACAGAACAACAAACAAACAAACAAACAAACCGATTAAGAAACCAAGAAACAAACAAACAAACAACAAAAACAAACAGGCAAAAAAGCAAAGCAACAACAACCAAACTATCCCCCAACAACACAAGCAAGTTTTTGTCTTAAAACCAAATTGTTACTTTCTCAAAAAAACCCCAACAAAAAGAAATCACTCGACACACGTAATACAAAACAAAAAACATTATTATAATAATAGAAACAAGGAGAGATAAGAAGGGGTAGGAGAAACACCAATTGTTATGCGTGCAGCTAAGAGTTAAGCAATTAATAAATAATAATTATGTATTTGCGAAGAAAAACCCCCATCCCTTCCCCAGTACACTTTTTGAGTAAACTCAGTTCCAAGCAAGGCCTTCACCTAAAACGAAACCATTTGCTTTAACTAAAAAACGCGAGAAACGTTATGTAATGACATGAGAAATAGTGAAAATTTTATATAATACACATGTACTACTACTACCTTTTACCTTCTACTATACATTGTTGCATTTGTTTGTCACACTCGAAATGGAATTCGAATCCTAAATCGAATCGCATTCGAAACTCTTCAAAAAATGTATATCGAAAATGAAAGCTAGATTAGAGAAAGAAAACTGTTTGGGTTTTTGTTTGTGATGCGTATGTTTGCGTTGCGTGTTTTGTTTTGTTTTTTAAATACCATATACATGGGATATACATATACGATGATATATGTACCTATGTACACCGTTGTTGAGTCTTGTTTATATATTATATACACACATATAAGCCACCACCACTTACACACAACACCCACACAACCAATAATTAGCATTATGTTGAGCTAAAGTTGAACTGTTTTCTATTATACAATGAGCGAGCGTTTTCAGTGAAAACTTCAGGTGATACTTACCCTCGAAATAAGGTAAATATTTTACTACAATCCTACGACAAAAAACAAAAACAAAAAAACCAAGAAAAAACTGCGACAGGCTAGTGAAAAAATGCAATTGCAAAATAAAATAATAGTAGATAAATAATGATGAGTGACTTTGTTGACATTTTACGTGCTCTCGTTACCAATTCCTGTTCTTACCTCTGTTCTCTGTTGACCCCCTTTCCATTAAATGCTTATCGCTGTTAATATATTCACCAACGATTTACTGCGACCTCTGTACATTTTGGAACACTACAGTTGATGTTCTTGATCATGATAATGTTGTCTAGTTTTAGAGATCCGATCGGATCGAGTGGTGTTAATGTGTTGCGCGCGCACGTGAGTCTCCTTTTGGTTATGATTTTGTGCTCCCGATTTGTTATCTCCTTATCTTTTGTTTTCTATATATTATTTATATATAAATATATATATACATTGCGATTTGTTAGCTGCCAGTTTGAGAAACTGCACTTGTTAGTTTTTTAATTTTTTTTCTAATGTCACTTTGCGTTTTGTTAACTCTACATTTCTTTGGTAAATTTAGCACATTTGTTTCTTACATTCTAATTTTAAGTCTTACATTCTCTTTCACCTCAAAAATACATCACAATTATCTTAAAGAAAATACCGATTCTTTGTAAAATATTCACATTATAAAAGCATTCATTAAACAAAAAGTAAAACCACCCAACAAATTTCCCTTGTTAATTTTAAGTATTGTGCAATTATTAAACATTATTTTCCACAAACATTTCACGACGATTGTATGTACATATCTTACCTAGAAACGCAGTGTAAAGACAAGAGATGTTAACATCACATTTTAAAGAAAATTCCCCTAATCATATATAAATATATACACACACAAAGACATACAAAAACACTCACCTGCAGAGAGAGAAATGCCTTACTTGTAATGAACATTTTCTTATTTACTTTATTCCTTACACATAATTTAGTTTAACACATACACACACACATACACACTCCTCTTTCGATTATTAAACAAAGATGAAGCTAAATTTCAATAAAATTTGATTACAAAAAACAACAACCCGTATGGAAACAGCAGAATTATTTATTTTGTGTTTAATTTTGGGCCACCACCAACCCATTACCTTGCCACCAAAAGCCATTCACACCCAACCACACACCCACCCACCAGCGTCGCATCACTAACACAAAAAACAAAATTTATATAAATCTCAAATCTACAGTCTTACAACATTATCATGATCAATCAAAATCAACTCAAAATCAGCCAGTCAATCAGCCAGTTTGCCAGTCAATCGTTGCTCCTTTCGATTTCAATCAGACTCGACTTCAACCTCAACTTCAATCACTGAAAACGCTCATCACCGTAGAGAAAGGAAACAAAAGAAAATAGTTAAAGAAACAAACAAACAAACAAACAAAACAAACAAACAAACAAGAACCGCAACCAATCCTAAGCTAAGTCTAAATGTTAAGTTATCAAGTTGTTCTTATTAATTTTTTGCTATTATTGTTAAAACTGACCTACAATTGTTCTTATTTGTGCAATATTTATATAATACGATTAAAATATGAAATCAAACAAAAAACAAAAGATAATTAAAAACAAAACAAACAAAAAAATTGAGAAAATGATAAAGGCGACAAAGTCTATAAGCAAACTAAAGAAGAAAGGAAAGAAAGTAAATTTGAAAGTACAGTCGTAAATGCTAGTGTGCCTTGAAATATGCATTAACATCCAAAAGAAAACAAAACGAAACAGAAAACGTAGGGGAAGGAATAAAATGATATGATGTTGGTGTTTTATTATTATTATTATTATTATTATTATGATTAATTCATGACTTCATCAAGATAAATCTATCGATCAGGACGCCGAGATAGAGAGACAGAGAGTAATTGCAATAGACCGTCTAGGCCAGGGATCTGAGCTTTCCAGGCGAACAGCAGAATATTCCACAGTGACAACTTTGAGGCATAGCCTATATAACCTACAACAACCAGAATCACAACAAGCATAAATACACAGATCCCCTTCGTCCACCCCACAAATCAGTCAATCAGTCAACCAGCCAATCAGTCAACCAGCCAATCAGTCAACCAGTCAACCAATCAACCTTCCAATCCAAAAGCAACTGAACATTTATTTCGTCTTCTTCGCATTGCGTCAGATCATCGGTATATTGATACCAATATCCAAACTTAAAGCCCTATCTACCTATCACAGATCACAACTCCTACATACGTTCGTTTGTTGACACCCACTCACTCTCATGAAAATGCCCATGAAAATTCACATCATGAACACACATTCATATGAAGAACACCCATGAAAAATACATGAAACATAACCTATACATTCACACATTCGTACTAAATATCAGTATCACATGCGCGTGCTCACTGAGTTATGTTTAATGTATGAGTTTTATATAATATTTAAACATAGTAGAGGATGAGGAGATGAAAAATATAAACACAAATATATATATACATAATATACCTATATTTGTACTGGATCTGTGATATGTATTTAAAACAAAAAACAACAACAAAAAAGAGAAAACAAAGCAAAAATATATTTATTGAAAACAAAGAGATGAGAGAAGAGTCAAACGATACTTGAAGTTAATTATGAAATAATTAATTTTTTAATGAGACAACTAAGAGAAAATGAAAAGCTTTACTTCAAAAGCAACAAAAATCTCCCCTGAAATCAAGTTCTCAATTCATCGATGCATGGATCCGAGATCGAGATCGAAACAGAGATCGTGATCGAGTGCGAGTTCTCGAGGACTCTCGTCCAAATAAACCCCACTCCATATATGCATACGTGTTCACTGCAAAACTGGTCTTTGCCGATTCCGAAAACTCCGTTTCTCGAAAATAAATGTCAGATTTGTGATCACCTCTCTCCCCCCCCCCAGCAAGACGATGACTAAATTGGGAGCGTGTGACGAAAGGGAAACCGGAAGCCATAACCGAAGCCGAGCCGAGCCCATAAAAGGATGTGAGCAGATTGCATCCGTTTTTTTTTTTTTTGGGTGTCCTGCGTCCAGCGTGTTCGACGTGTTTTATGCTTGTTTGGATTTTATTGTTTGAATGCGTTTGTTATTTGCTGTACAAATTGAAGCTTCACGCAATCCCCGCCAGCCCCATTCTGGAGTGATATGTGGGCGGTCCTAGCACAGTCTGTCCGCGTCCAAGTTGCACCCCCTTTCGGCCGCATGATTGCTTCGTGCTAACCATCGATACAACTGTTAATTTTATCAGCACCCTTTACCCCGCCCCCCAAAATCAGAAACATTGTCATGCCAATATCACCCCTTTCGCCAATAAACCCCCGCTCCTATTTCGACACCAATCATGTGCAAAAGTAGGAAACTTTGAAACATCGCAGTCAGTTCTTTTCACCCGAGTACACACACAGGAGTTCAGGAATTTTATTATTCATGTAAAAGAAATTATTGAAAGGCATCTAAACAATAACTAAGGAGGATAGGAAGGCAAGAGATATAGGAAGGCAGGAGATTAGCAAGGCAGGAATAGGATGGATAGGTAGAGGAGAGTATAACAGCTGTTATTTCAACGACGGAGTCTATTAGTCTTAAAGTAGTAAACATAAAAGCAAATTTTATTAACTATATACAACATACAATACATAAATATCTAATGTAATTAAAATTCAATTCGTCTTTGAACATTTCAAGAAAACCCAAAATGAAAACAAAAACCACAACAAATGAAAACAAATTAAAAAGGAAAATAAAATCAATAAATGAAAGTAGCAAGGGGGAATATGCCCCTTGAAAATCCGTAATTTGCTAAAATACAAAAATATGTAAAGAGGAGTTCAATTTATCAATCAAATCTCGTATAGTGCATATATATATTACATACCAACATAAAAACATGCATACTTAATGAGAAAACAAAAAACAACATGAAATATATAAACTTTAATTATAATTTGTTATGCTTTGCCACATACACCCACACCCACACTGTTATTAGAACAATTAAACATTAATTATTGCGAACGCATCTAATAAATATATATATATAAATGTACACGACGCGCCCATATTAAATCGTGAATCGTAAGGATCGTGAGGAGCGATATCGGAGGACTAACTAAATCATTATATAACCTCATATAGCATTGTATGTATAAACCAATCGGATTGGACAGCGGCAGCGGAGCGACCGGACGGACGATCGACGTTCATTGAATGCAGCAAAACCACAACACAGAAGCATACAGCATTAGTGAAATATTAAATACTATATAAATACACATACACTAAAAGTATAAAGAAGTAGTCGTTAGTGTGATAAATACAATTAATATTAATTAATTCAAGCAACAAAATAAATGCGGTTTAACGATTGAAGCAGAAGAACTCGGTGCATCCCGAACTTATCTATTTATTTACCTGCGTTTCCATTTGGCACATATGGGTCTTGCCGATATAGATTTTCAATTCCCAATGAGATCGATCGAAAACCGAGACATTGTCATAATGCTGGAACGAAGAGTGAAGATTGAAACGATCCCAGCTTAAATCATAACTCATGAAACTACATCACAGTCATAAAATAGGACGAAAAAATTAAATGAAATCTTATTCAATGTACAAAATAGAATCTATTCAATTTCGAATCACAAGAAACTAAAACCAATTTTTCGAATCTTCTTCTAAAAACGCAGACACAGCCAGAAAGAAATGTCAACATTTTTAATTGTCAACCAACAAAAAAAAAACAAAAAAAAAAAAAACAACCCAAGAAGTTGCATACGTGAGTACCTTAGGAAACAGAAAACCCAGAAACAAATGTTATATAGAAATTATGGCCGTCACGATATCTAGCCAATATCAGCAGCAACATGTCCCCATTTCCGGTTCCGGTCCAACATTTCGCTCATTATGTAGGAACTCTCTCATTTTATACAATCGATATAGAGTCAATATACAAGTTCGATCCCCATCAGAAGGCACTTCTTTTCAGTCAACGTACTACTACTATTTAGGGAGTAAACCTAGGAACTACGATGAACGAACACAGCAGCAACCACACTTTTCGATCTCTCAATAGTAACATATAGATGGAATTAATTACGAAATCGACATTAAAAAAAAAGCACGGAACATTATATAAAAAACATCATGGGAACTCATTCAAAAGTAAAAGTACTAAATCTTTTATGATTTGACTGTGATAATAATACTGACAAATGGGAGAAATAAAGTCGGAGGAAGTAAACAAATTAAACGTATATAGAGTATTTAAATGTATGTACATACAATGCCGCCTGCCCAAAGGCCAAGGCTAAAGCATATGTAATATTAACCTAGGAGCGAAGGAAGATAATGACAAACAATCCAGCAATCGATCGGAGATGTAGCGAATGATGTTAATTCCATTGCGAAATGCGAAAGAGCAACAAGTTTTACTTATACATATTAGCAAAATATTTAAATAAAATTTTAGCAAAAAACCAAATCCCTTTCTGAGTGCAAATGAACCCAAGGAAACGTAAAAACGAGAAGTAAATCAAGTAAAAATGCAAAATGCAAATCAACGATATTTAGTTATGCTCTATTTACAAAATATAATCAATTGAACGTTTTTTAAAAGAATCAAGTAGCAAAGCAAACGATTTTATAGATTTATTCATTTAGCATTTGAAAATCGCAAGGCCAAGGCATCACACATTTAACCACGATATAAAGTAGGGTTTTTTTTTCTCAATTTCATTTTACGATTTACAAAAAATTAACGAAAACTAAGAAAAAACCAAGCAAGTAAATGGGTTACTTGAAACATAGTCTAGTGAAATCTTTAAAACAAATAAAAAAACAAAATCAAAAGGTATCCCTAAACGAAGATTCTTTAACGTAGCTCATTCAAGTTTTAACAACAAATCGAAGGCATAATTTTTGCAATTAAAACAAAGTAAAAAAAAGACAAAGATTGCGAAAAACCAAAAGCAGTTACTCCTCTCTACATACATATATATACATAGCTATATAACCCCAAAATCATACTCGAACAAAAATACAAATAAAAACAAAAATTGCAAAATGATGAAAAGAATATTGTGCGAATGACTACAACCTTATGGTAATGACGGCATACCTTGGCCAACACAAACAATAAGACGAAAGCTAAGCTAGGTAGGCGATCGATCGATACCGACGTTAGAGATACAGTACAGAACATGCATGTATATCGAATGTAATAGTAATATTATGTAATGCGTGTACGGCACATCTGTATGCAATAATAGTAATTATAGTAAATTTGTTGAATACATATATACACAGGCAAACACAACCCAATAACACACACAGACTCCGAAAACCGGAAACGCCAATAAGTGCATAAAACTACATACATACATTGCGCAGATAACATTATAAAAAAGAGATCCGCATCCAGGATGGAAAATTAGAAAAGCAAAGTTAGGACGGTACATGAATGAATTACGTGAATTACACACATTACACATTTAAGAACGATTATATAAAAATGACAAAACTAATAAAATTATATTATAATTCAATGAGGTTTTACTTCCCCCTGGTTTTGGGATCTGCATAGTATTTATTTTTATTTAATTTTGACTTCTTATTTAGTACACATAAATGAAAATGGCATGTTTCAAATTTCCTTAAAATGTAATAATTATTTCTTGGCAAATTCTGGCGGACAATCTGGTTGCTTGAAGGGATGTGTGGACTTGAAGGCTTCCAGTTCCAGCAGCTCCTTGTCCAAGCGCACTATGGTTGGATATGGGCTCAGGTCGACTTTGAACCTAATATATATAATATAACCCTTTAAATGTTATTCCAAATGAGTATATATATAATGTTATACCTTCTGGCATTGTGCACCTGAGGCACTAGGCAAATATCCGCCATTGTGAGCTCATTTCCCACGCAATACTTGCCCGCGGATTGGCTTAGTATCCTCTCCAGTCCCCTAAATCCCCGGGATATCCAGTGCTGAGCCCATTCCAGGCTCTTATCCTTTCCGATACCCTCCAGGACCCCGGTATTTTGCAGGGGCTGAATGCCCGAGCAAATGAGCTGCACAATTTCATTGACCTTGGCCCTGGCCAAAGGATCTTGGGGCAGGAGAGCAGGCTGTGGACAAGTCTGCTCAAGATAGTGCATTATGGCCACCGATTCGCATAGGGAATGTCCATCTAATTTGTTTTAATTGAAATATAAAATATAATATAATATACAAAATACATTTAAACTATGCTATGTGCTATACTTCTTACCAATCTTTAAAGCAGGAACTTGCTGCATGGGATTCACTTCCAGATACTCAGGAGTATAAGCATGATTGCTGATTGTCTTTATCAAGGATGTAGGTTTAATTTCATAACTTATATCCTTAAGGTACAATGCAATGCGAACTCTCCAAGAACATGAACTTGACCAGTATGAATATAGTATAGGCTGGGAGTTTGTGGACATATTTCGGTTGAAAATGTGCCGTAAATATGGTGGCAATAAAAGTAACTTTCTTGTAGCAGACATCTTTAATGTATAGGTTTAATATAATATGTTTTTTTTTGGTTTAATAGAAAAATAAAACCGGGCTATAGGTTGTTTAATTAAGCTGTTTTGATAGAGATTCCAACGACCAGCTGGTTTTAGTTAAATACTTTGTGCTAAGAACTATCGATTACAACTTTGTGTCTATATAAGACCATCCCAAAAGAAGGCTGTATTTTTTGGTGGACAGTTTAGAAAAATATAAAAAACTTGTATATATGTATATACGAAATTATAATATAATATTAAACATTGCCTTAAAATTTCGAAAGAAAAGCTTGTTGATTTTCCCAATCTAAGTAATTAGTAAAATATAATAAAATAAACCCAAAGCACTTCTTTAGTGTGAAGTTTATTTATTAATAGTATATGGAACTGTTACAATATTTCGGAAATTATGCATATTAGTTGGTTTGTATTCAATTTGGTTTTCGTTATCGTTTGGTTTTGGTTTGCGAAAATGCGCAGCTCTGTCGTTCTTTATCCTTTATATATATATTTATTTATTTGTATCGTATGATGATGTGACCTTTGGCGTTCGTCCTTCGACTAGTGCCTTGTACTGTCATGCAGGATAGTAAGTAAGTATAGTATGTACTTGGCATTGGCAGGCTTACATCTACTCGTACAGGGTATATGGAGCTTAGGTTTTTATTTGCGAACAGACTCCCTCACGATTTACTTCAATTTACATCAAGTTGCTATTTAAAATTAGTGTGCACTTAGTTTGTTGGCTTTATCATTCGTCTATGTGCATTGATTCGAGGGAAATACTTGGGATTACGTTACGTTTCGTGGTATCAAAGAGGCATTGCATTGACATTTAGAACCATTAAATAGGTGATCCAAGTTATAGTTCTTGTAAATTACTTATGAGTTATTCATTACTCGATTTAGTGTATAGTTTTGTATGCTGGTATATAGTTTACTTAATTGCTGACTGACGCTTTGTACTTTGTGAACGATTTGTTTAGCATTAAGTCCAACTTTGACATGAAGTACTTATACATACATATCAGTATATCCTCGACCTCTTTCTAAATTTGTTTTGTTTTTAAATCCCTGAATTAAATTTTGCTCTTCGTCATGAATTTGTTATGTCTTTTGTTAGCCTAAATAAAATGCATAAAAATAAGTTACATTTAATATATATGAGTTCATCTTTTAGATCATGTTCACAATGACAAACTAAGGGAATTTGAAGAATCTTTAGTTTTTTTTTTTAATTATTATTATGTATTTTTAGTTTCCGTTTTCGTTTCGTCTCTGAGAATTTTGCATTTGAATTTCGTGTTGGAATTTCGTTAAGTTATCGATAGTATTTTTATGCATTTATGCATATTTAAATGCTGTTAGCAATTTCTTAAATCACATCCGACTGTTTCTGCTTAATGGAACCTCCTTCGTCCTCCGTTTTCTGTCTTCTGTCCAATCCCTCCTTCGCCCACCTGCTCGCTGATCAGATTTAAGTATATAGTTTGTCCTGTGCCTGGGGATCACGAACTGCAATTCACTTTTTCGTCTTACGGCGCTTTGCAGTTGGCGTCGGAAAATTCTATTTATTGGGCAGCTCCGGCGGACAGTCCGGTTGATTGGATGGGTGGGCCGCCCGGAAGGCGGGATTGCTCTCAAGTTCACGATCGATGCGCAGTATGATGGGATATGGGCGCAAGTCCACATGGAATCTGATAATAAATAATAATTCAATTTAGCATCAAGTACAACCAGATCAGAAATAAAGCATAAGTATAAAATCAATTAACGTAAAACTACTTCTCTTAAAACTTAATGAGGATTTTTTTTTACAAAACAAGTATATTATATTATATATCGAGCAAAATAATATTTTCTATATCTGCGCAAAAATTAAGTATATATTCGTAAACTTGTACTGTGCTCTAAATTGGTTTGTCCAAAAACGAGTTAAGGGAGTAACTTAATTGGAATAAATTCCTCTATAATGAAATCTATGGAAACTTTGTGCCAAAAAACTAGTTTTTCATGGAATTTGTTTACAGCAACTCGGTACAAATGGTTGTTATATGCTGATATATATATCTTGGATAATAAGTAGAAACTAACTATAAGGTTTATTAAGTTTAACGCATTAATAAATTGTTGATTGAAGTTACAATTTTTTGGCAATTTTAAAGAGTATCTTTTTTTATACTAAGTAAAGTCTTAGAATTGTTTTTCACAAATGTTTGGTTTTATATGTACATATGTGTATACCCTTATATTTTATTTAGTAATGCAAATTTATTTATTTATTTTAGTTATGCAAAGCAGTGAATATAAAGAAATTTATTTTTATTTTATAATTTCTTTTCTAATTTTGTTAAAATCGAAGGATATATATGTATATATATAGCTGCCATATATGCCTACCGCTCTCTGTAACTTTAGAGGTAGCTCTCTCCCTGTATCCCTCTGTGTGTCCCTCTAGAGACACCTCTTTCTCCCTAGCTCTCTCTGCCTTTCTCTAATGCTATCCCTTACTCTCTCGCTCTTACTTTCTCTATTCTCTTGACTAGGGGACTATAAATACAGGTACTGCAGGCGTGCTGGCCTCAGTCTGTCCGTGGCCGCCGCTCTGGTTGCATCTCTAGTGATAGTGATAGTGATTGTTATTACGCTTCGACCCCAAAAATATGACCAGGAAGATGATCTCTTCAATTATACCATCTGAAGCCTAATTGAAGTAACCAAGTACATAACTCTACACACATTGATGAGAAAACACACCTCAGTGTGTCCTCTACTGCGGTAAGTCATAATCATGACAATTGTATTATGTATACTCATAGGTGCTAGGATAAGGCTCAGGTATAGAGTCAGCTTTGCTATCTATTTGTTTATTTTCCCTTTAATTCCCATTTCTTAATTTTAACATAAAGTGACAGATCAATTTATATTAATGATATTTACAAACTTTATGCTCAAAGTTAATATCCTAACTCAATAATAAGTTATTTGCGAATAACCTTGTAGTCAGAAGCTTATATAAGGGGCTACATCATTAAAATTGTCAAAATTTGATAAAAATTTGAATTGTTTAAAGTTAAAAACTTGGTATGCAGATTTGTTAACCGAATAAAAACTAGTACAGAAAAGCTTTCCGAATTGAAATTAATGGATTTTTGGCTGAGTTATGATATTTTTAAAAACTTTGATTTACCCAAAAAATTAGCATTTAAAAATATTGATTTATTATACCTAGAATACAAATAATTTAGGTTTTCTTGGAGTTTTAAGAAGGCTAAGGCTAAGGCCAATGAAGACAAAAGTCATATATATATTTGATTACCAATCACAATCTTAATCAATAAAGAATCAAACATTTTATCAAATAAGATCGACAAATCATAGAATTGAATTTACAAAGTTTTGTAAGAGGTAACGTCATTAAAATTTTCATAAATTCAAAATTTGTTTTTAAATTTTTTAAATATTAAAGCCTAGTGGTCTAATATCCTTATAAAAGCCAACATAGATACATACATACTGCTGCCTCTCAAAGTAACATCAAATCCTCAATTTGTTATACATTTTAAACTTAATCATTCTATTAACTTCTAGATTTATAGCCTCATTATATTATATTATTAATCCTACTCACCTGCGGGCATTGAAGACCTGAGGTACGAGACAACAGTCGGCCATGGAGATCTCGTCGCCAACGCAATACTTGCCGGCGGAGGTGGAGAGTGCCTTCTCCACCGCCCGGAAGCCGCGTGTGATCCAGTGCTGGGCCCACTCCTTCTTCTTCTCCTCGCCGACATGGATGAGCACAATGAGGTTCTGAAGGGGCTGGATGCCCGAGCAAATAATCTCCACAATCTCGCGAACCTTGGCCCGCTTGTGGACATCCTGTGGCAGCAGGGGTCGCTGGGGACGGGTCTCCTCCAAATAATGCATAATGGCCACCGATTCGATGAGGGTATGTCCATCTAGGAAAGCGAGTATGTATGATGTCTTATGGAACTTTGAGTCTATCGAACCAACTCACCGATCTGCAGGGCTGGAACCTGTTCCATGGGATTGACCTCACGATACTCGTTGCAATGCTGCTCGCCACCTGATTTGATCAGGCTGATCGGTTTGATGTCATAGGGAATCTCCTTCAGGTTCATCGCAATGCGCACGCGCCAAGAGCACGAGCTGCGCCAATACGAGTAGAGTATTGGCTGTACATCCAAGGAGGAGGCGGAAGCAGAGGCAGTGGAGGATGAAACAAGCGGATTAGTAGACATTTTAGCACAGCGTTTGAACTCAAAATGACGGGTCCGGCCCACAAAGCTCTATTACGAAAACTATTTATTCTAATTCGGAGGGGCACAGAACAGGTTGCCGCTGATAACGAGTTGTATTTAGACTCGGAGAGTCTCGCCTAGTCAAACTGGTTTTATCATTTGCATTTCTCGTGCTTTTATGTTTTGTTTTTTTTTTTTTCACAGCGATAAAACAGAGCACCACTTATCTTTAAATTTTCACAGAGAATACCACTTTTTCTAAGAGATTTTGGCATTCGGTTTCGGTTTCAGATATACCCACATGATTCATGGTGTGCAGACAGGAGCAGAGCCAGCGGCAGACTGACAAAAAAGCACAGCGTCAAGTTTGTCTTGCACCAAAAATAGCGCCCGACAACAGCTGCAGAGCAACAGTAACAGTCGAGAGCAGCAAGGAGATGGAGGAGGGTGAACAATGGACGAGGACGAGGACGAGCCCTAAAATGATATACACACGCAGAGCCCAACGGCGGTTCTGGCGGTTCCGGCCTGTCCCGGTCAGGCCAATCAACCCAGCAGAATCGAGTCTATCGACGTGTAGGGTAGGGACGTTGGTTCCGCCCACCCAAAGATACAGCCACACACAGTGTGTGTACACGGAAAGCATAATAAGTTCCCTAAAAGTTCAATGAACTCATGGGAAAGTAAAGCCGATGGTTGAATCCGAATGGCTCCGACTGTCGTCGAGTTCCTAAAAACCGAGTCACGAGTTTCGGGATCCGAGTTGCTGCCAGTGTCCCGAACTGTGTCGCACACCACCCCAAGGTCGGCTAGGGGCATTAACCTTAATCAAGTTGTCGTTGTCGTTGTCCTGAGTCCGAAGCGCGAAGCCAGCGCCAAGGACACGGGACCCCTGCTCAAGAGAATAAGAGAAAATTGGCTCACAAGTTTCGCGATTCGCTTGGGAGAGGGTGTGCTTTCATTTAGGGGTTGCTCGTTGAGTGTCGGCCATTTCGGAGTTTGAGTCAAAAAATATGTTGAGGGTTGTCGAGTTATTTCAGAAGTCTTGTGAAAAAAACATTAAGATTTTCTAGTAATTCATATTAAGGCTTTCCCTTTAAAAGATCTAGGTTTTAGGGGTCAAATTCATTGTAAATTTTTTAATTATATTTATTATTTATACATTTTTGATGTATAAATTTAAAGCTAAGAGACAATTCCTAAGCACCCCAATGACTCAAATTTGAAATATAATCAAAGGATATGCCTTAAACTCATTATACATTATTGTCTTAAGTTTCCTTCTTTATAACGCCAATAAGTAGGCTATATTTTTTGATTTTAGTCCTGGGCAGTTTCTTTGCCTTTTGTGCAATAATTATAGAGTCCTGGCAACACTGTTTTTGGCAACTTTTGCAGTGTATGTGCACGCGAGGGAGGAAAGCTCACTGCTGTGCGCAAAATCCAAATATGAAAGCGAAGGGTATGAAGAGTATGAAGGGTATGAGTGCGGCCCAGACTAAAACTGAAGTCAGAGATTGCTGGCCGCGTGGTATGAGTGACATTTGCGGGAATGGATTTTCGCCAGAAAGCCAAACACAAGGCGCAAATGACACGCTGGGTAACTGGATTCGATTCCATTTGATTCAATATGCATATCCTGACGATTCACTTACCTTTGCTATGGCCGATAAGGACATAGCGTTGTGGTGGTACTTTGAGTAGTTAATTTTGAAGCCGTTAAGTGCAGATGCACAACCCCGTTGGAGAGTTGAAAAAAATGGTAGGATCCGGGCCGGTTAATCGGCAATTAATTCCAGGGTATCCTGGTTCAATTCACTCGCTAATACACTGCGTACACTCTAATCACCATCCACGGTTATCCCGATATCTCTACGATATATGGGTATATATACGGGGTTTGTTTTTATGGGTGAGCTTCCTTTTGCAGGCGCAGAAATGCACTCAAAACTGAACCTCAAAGTGAAACCGCTTGGGCAAGCGCTAAAGGATAGCGACAGGATATGAAGCCAGGACGCAACTGAACACACTGAACTAAATAAACGAGTGCGAAAGCGAAAGCCAAAGCAAACGCAAAAAGGACAATGACAAAAGCCAACAACAATGCCAGCACAAGAGTGTGTGACTGTGTGCGAATGAGCGAAGGTAAGAGAGAGGTAGGACCAAAGCAAAAGGGAGAGAGAATAATGGAGAGGATGAAAAGGAGAATGTTTTTTTGAAAAGCTTTGGGGTTGCGTCTCCGCTAAGCTTGCGAAGGGGTTAATTCATGTCAATATATACTAACTCGGCACAGTAGACACCCGCAAAAAAGTAATTTATGCTTAAGTAAAAAATGCTCCAGATTTCGGATGTATATTCGTTTTTTTATAAATCCTATTAATATCCTAACAGGATATTCTAATTTTAGTTAGAAGCTTTCTGTTTGAAAAATACTTATTATTAAAAAAAATGGTCTGTTTTTATACCTTTTTGCACGATATTAGTATTAATCAGAAGCTTATATCACATTGAAGGATTCATTTCCGACCCTGTAAATCATATATATTCTTGAACGGAATGAACAACGGAATCGATCTAGCCATGTCTAGTGAACAAATACATTAAGGCATTTTTTCAAAATTTCAAAAAAAGATAAGGGGTTACATCGTTAAAATTTGAAAAATTCGACCAAAAACTGAATTTTTAAAATTTGCAGTATGCAGATTTGTTAGCGCTAGAAAGACTAGCACAGAACAGATTTCCGAATTGAAATTAACGCATTTTTAGCTCACTTGTGATGTTTGCAAAACACTGAATTTTTACAAAAATTGCCTGTTTTTATACATTTTTTCTGGTTAGTATTATTTTAGTCCAAAGCTTTTAACAGCATCAACAAACGCGGTATGCAGATTTGTAAGCGCTTTAAAAACTAGCTCAGAACAGCTTTCCGAATTGAAATTAACGCATTTTTAGCTCACTTGTGATGTTTGCAAAACACTGAATTTTTACAAAAATTGCCTGTTTTTATACATTTTTTCTGGTTAGTATTATTTTAGTCCAAAGCTTTTAACAGCATCAACAAACGCGGTATGCAGATTTGTAAGCGCTTTAAAAACTAGCTCAGAACAGCTTTCCGAATTGAAATTAACGCATTTTTAGCTCACTTGTGATGTTTGCAAAACACTGAATTTTTACAAAAATTGCCTGTTTTTATACCTTTTTGCTGGGTACTAGTATAAATCAGAAGCTTATAACAGAATGAAGGAATCGTTTCCGACCCTGTAAATCATATATATTCTTGATCAAATTGAAACGCTGAATCGATCTAGCCATGTCTTGTAGAAAAATAATTTTGTTTCATTTTTCTTCAAAATTGCAAAAAAAGATAAGGGGTTACATCATTAAAATTGTCAAAATTTGGCAAAAAATTGAATTTTGTAAATTCAAAAACTGAGTATGCAGATTTGTTGGCGCTATAAAAATTAGCACAGAACAGCTTTTCGAATTGAAATTAACGCATTTTTGGCCTAATTATGATGTTTGAAAAACACTGATTATTTATAAAGTTCCCTGTTTTTATGCCGTTTTGCAGGTTATTATAATTTTTGTCAAAGTCTATTAGCAGCATGAACAAACGCGGTACGCAGATTTGTGAGCGCTTTTAAAACTAGCTCAGAACAGCTTTCCGAATTGAAATTAACGCATTTTTAGCTCACTTGTGATGTTTGCAAAACACTGAATTTTTACAAAAATTGCCTGTTTTTATACCTTTTTTCTGGTTAGTATTATTTTAGTCCAAAGCTTTTAACAGCATCAACAAACGCGGTATGCAGATTTGTAAGCGCTTTAAAAACTAGCTCAGAACAGCTTTCCGAATTGAAATTAACGCATTTTTAGCTCACTTGTGATGTTTGCAAAACACTGAATTTTTACAAAAATTGCCTGTTTTTATACCTTTTTGCTGGGTACTAGTATAAATCAGAAGCTTATAACAGAATGAAGGAATCGTTTCCGACCCTGTAAATCATATATATTCTTGATCAAATTGAAACGCTCAATTGATCTAGCCATGTATTGTAGAAAAATAAATTTTTTAATTTTTCTTCAAAATTGCAAAAAAAGATAAGGGGTTACATCATTAAAATTGTCAAAATTTGGCAAAAAATTGAATTTTGTAAATTCAAAAACTGAGTATGCAGATTTGTTGGCGCTATAAAAATTAGCACAGAACAGCTTTTCGAATTGAAATTAACGCATTTTTGGCCTAATTATGATGTTTGAAAAACACTGATTATTTATAAAGTTCCCTGTTTTTATGCCGTTTTGCAGGTTATTATAATTTTTGTCAAAGTCTATTAGCAGCATGAACAAACGCGGTACGCAGATTTGTGAGCGCTTTTAAAACTAGCTCAGAACAGCTTTCCGAATTGAAATTAACGCATTTTTAGCTCACTTGTGATGTTTGCAAAACACTGAATTTTTACAAAAATTGCCTGTTTTTATACCTTTTTTCTGGTTAGTATTATTTTAGTCCAAAGCTTTTAACAGCATCAACAAACGCGGTATGCAGATTTGTAAGCGCTTTAAAAACTAGCTCAGAACAGCTTTCCGAATTGAAATTAACGCATTTTTAGCTCACTTGTGATGTTTGCAAAACACTGAATTTTTACAAAAATTGCCTGTTTTTATACCTTTTTGCTGGGTACTAGTATAAATCAGAAGCTTATAACAGAATGAAGGAATCGTTTCCGACCCTGTAAATCATATATATTCTTGATCAAATTGAAACGCTGAATTGATCTAGCCATGTATTGTAGAAAAATAAATTTTTTAATTTTTCTTCAAAATTGCAAAAAAAGATAAGGGGTTACATCATTAAAATTGTCAAAATTTGGCAAAAAATTGAATTTTGTAAATTCAAAAACTGAGTATGCAGATTTGTTGGCGCTATAAAAATTAGCACAGAACAGCTTTTCGAATTGAAATTAACGCATTTTTGGCCTAATTATGATGTTTGAAAAACACTGATTGTTTAAAAAGTTCCCTGTTTTTATGCCATTTTGCAGGTTATTATAATTTTTGTCAAAGTCTTTTAGCAGCATCAACAAACGCGGTAAGCAGATTTGTAAGCGCTTTTAAAACTAGCTCAGAACAGCTTTCCGAATTGAAATTAACGCATTTTTAGCTCACTTGTGATGTTTGCAAAACACAGAATTTTTACAAAAATTGCCTGTTTTTATACCTTTTTTCTGGTTAGTATTATTTTAGTCCAAAGCTTTTAACAGCATCAACAAACGCGGTATGCAGATTTGTAAGCGCTTTAAAAACTAGCTCAGAACAGCTTTCCGAATTGAAATTAACGCATTTTTAGCTCACTTGTGATGTTTGCAAAACACTGAATTTGTACAAAAATTGCCTGTTTTTATACCTTTTTGCTGGGTACTAGTATAAATCAGAAGCTTATAACAGAATGAAGGAATCGTTTCCGACCCTGTAAATCATATATATTCTTGATCAAATTGAAACGCTGAATCGATCTAGCCATGTCTTGTAGAAAAATAATTTTGTTTAATTTTTCTTCAAAATTGCAAAAAAAGATAAGGGGTTACATCATTAAAATTGTCAAAATTTGGCAAAAAATTGAATTTTTTAAATTCAAAAACTGAGTATGCAGATTTGTTGGCGCTATAAAAATTAGCACAGAACAGCTTTTCGAATTGAAATTAACGCATTTTTGGCCTAATTATGATGTTTGAAAAACACTGATTATTTATAAAGTTCCCTGTTTTTATGCCGTTTTGCAGGTTATTATAATTTTTGTCAAAGTCTTTTAGCAGCATGAACAAACGCGGTACGCAGATTTGTAAGCGCTTTAAAAACTAGCTCAGAACAGCTTTCCGAATTGAAATTAACGCATTTTTAGCTCACTTGTGATGTTTGCAAAACACTGAATTTTTACAAAAATTGCCTGTTTTTATACCTTTTTGCTGGGTACTAGTATAAATCAGAAGCTTATAACAGAATGAAGGAATCGTTTCCGACCCTGTAAATCATATATATTCTTGATCAAATTGAAACGCTGAATCGATCTAGCCATGTCTTGTAGAAAAATAATTTTGTTTCATTTTTCTTCAAAATTGCAAAAAAAGATAAGGGGTTACATCATTAAAATTGTCAAAATTTGGCAAAAAATTGAATTTTGTAAATTCAAAAACTGAGTATGCAGATTTGTTGGCGCTATAAAAATTAGCACAGAACAGCTTTTCGAATTGAAATTAACGCATTTTTGGCCTAATTATGATGTTTGAAAAACACTGATTATTTATAAAGTTCCCTGTTTTTATGCCGTTTTGCAGGTTATTATAATTTTTGTCAAAGTCTATTAGCAGCATGAACAAACGCGGTACGCAGATTTGTGAGCGCTTTTAAAACTAGCTCAGAACAGCTTTCCGAATTGAAATTAACGCATTTTTAGCTCACTTATAATGTTTGCAAAACACAGAATTTTTACAAAAATTGCCTGTTTTTATACCTTTTTTCTGGTTAGTATTATTTTAGTCCAAAGCTTTTAACAGCATCAACAAACGCGGTATGCAGATTTGTAAGCGCTTTAAAAACTAGCTCAGAACAGCTTTCCGAATTGAAATTAACGCATTTTTAGCTTACTTGTGATGTTTGCAAAACACTGAATTTTTACAAAAATTGCCTGTTTTTATACCTTTTTGCTGGGTACTAGTATAAATCAGAAGCTTATAACAGAATGAAGGAATCGTTTCCGACCCTGTAAATCATATATATTCTTGATCAAATTGAAACGCTGAATTGATCTAGCCATGTATTGTAGAAAAATAAATTTTTAATTTTTCTTCAAAATTGCAAAAAAAGATAAGGGGTTACATCATTAAAATTGTCAAAATTTGGCAAAAAATTGAATTTTGTAAATTCAAAAACTGAGTATGCAGATTTGTTGGCGCTATAAAAATTAGCACAGAACAGCTTTTCGAATTGAAATTAAC